GACGAGTTTTGAGGCTGCTTCCAGAAGCATCCCAGGAACGGCTCCTTACCCAGCACACGGTGAAGGAAGGGCAGCTCGCCAGGCCACTGTGGTGTGCTGGTGTGCCTACTGCCAGTGCCACCTTTGCTGGGGTGCTCTAGGGCTGCAGCTGCAGCAGTGCCCATCCTGCAAAAGACTCAAAGGGCCCCGAGTTATCAGCAAATGGCTCCTGCTCTGGCAGCCACAAGCCTATTTGCTTTCTGGGCTTACATTTCAGAGGCTTTTCCATAACAGGGAGGGTTGAAAGTCATTTTGGTTTTCTGGTTCTTTTCAAAAGGCAAGTCCAGGTGTGGTCCCATGGATGGGGCTGGGGGAAATTCCCCTCCCAGGACCTCCCACTCATGCTGTCCCCTGCTAGGGGATGGGAGGAGCGGGACCTGCAAAGCAGCCCATCTGCAGTATCACTGGGTCGAGGAGCCCTTTCCCAGGAAACACCCACCCATCCTGGCCCCCTGACTCATTTGCTGGCACCGGGGTCTACCCAGATCCTGCCTGCATCTGCAGCTTTGCCTTGTCTGCCCTGGCTTCAGTGCTTCATGGTGCTGGACCCATGCCCACTGCTCTGGGGCGTGCCAGCTGCTGCCAGGTGTCTCTGTGCAGGTGGCCGGAGCTGGGCTGGGCACGGGGGTCCCATGGGCAGCATTTGTACTGGGGTTGGGGGCTTTGATGCTGCCCATGAAGGCCCTGGCAGCGACACGCGGGCTGGCCTAGTGTGGTGGCCCTCTCTCTGGGGATTTCAGGCCGTGATCTCAGCCCAGTGGCATCCCTCCACTCTGGCCATTCCTCTGCTCTGGCTGCAGGAAGCATGGGGTTTCCCACAGGCATGGTGGTAGCTGCCCATGTGCCAGGTCCAGCATTGCTCCGGCTAAGCTGGAGGAGTGAAAGGCATCCCAGCCCCAGCTGTTTTGTGGGTGGGGGAGCAGACTGGGACACCTCTGCTCCAAGGCAGACATCTTTCTGGAGAGCAGACCCTGTGTCATGGGGCAGGACAAGCCCCAGGAGAAGCAGTGAGGATGGAGACGGCCCTCGCATGGGCATGTGTGTCCCCATGCCTTGGCCTCCTGGCAGGCAGTGGCTTCCCGGTCCCTGCTGGGGTCTGTGTCCCCTCACCAGCCTCAGCTCCCCAGGCCCAGTTTCGGTGTGGTGAGGGTACTGAGGTGGATTATTGCCCTGGGCTAGGGGCCATGAGTCTGCCTCTGAAGCCTCTGCAGCTCTTGTGCCCCCAAATGTGGGGGCCTTTCCTTGCTCATGCATCTCTCCACAGACCCTGCCAAGCATGCTCTGGGGTTTCACCTCTTTTTAAATAACACCCAACCACAGGCAGGCCGGGGTACCCCCATGCTGGGCCTCATTTACCCCTGAGATGCCTCTGCCCGGGATTAACCACCTAGCAGGCACCCAGCACGTGCTACCTGATCGTCCCACATGGGTGCTGCTGTTGGGTTTCTGCGCTCCCTATCCTGAAATGCACGGAGGGGACGGGAGATGCAAGGAGGGGTGACAGCTCTGAAGCCAGTGAGTGGTGGCAGCAAGGATGGGTGGCACCTCCATGTGCTTGGTCCCACCATGCTGGAGGTGCTGACTGACAAGGAGCTCTAGGTGAAGTGTGAAAGTCTGAGGTGGGAGAAATAAGTGCGTGTCCGATGGGATAGCATTGTTATGAGATCTGGCCGGACAGTTTCTTCTGGATCTGCTGTTAAACCACTGCTGAAATCTTCCTCTGAGGTGGCGATGGAGCATGCTGGGGACTGAGCTGTGAGCTGCTGCCCTTGGTGGAGGAGCAGCGTGTCTCCATGCAGGGGAGAGGAGATCCAAGGTGGCATTACTGCGTACCAGCCAGGTGCCTGGGAGCACACAGTGGAAATTTTCTGTGTTTCAGGACAGGGGATTAACTGCTGCCCTCGGGGAGGTTGGGAAGCTTACAGCATTAGCACAGAGGGACACAGGATCTGCAGCTGGGAGGCAGCAAGGACAAACGCTTGCTAAGCCAGGGCGTCTAAGCCAGTAAATTATATCCTTCCCTCATATGCTGGGCTGTGGTCTTAAACCTACCACATCACAGCCCTCAAATGGTGTCAGGGACCATCCTGGTTTGGAGCTGAAATTATGGCAAAGCCTTTTTTAGGGTAGACATTAAGAAAAATGCATTCTCCCTGGCACGACAGCCTGGCCCAAGGATAGATGACATGAAGAGTGCAATGTCCAGTAGTGGCGAGCAACATCTGAGGATGCTTGAAGCAGCCCAAGCCTGGTTGGAGGCCAGGAGATGGACAGGATGACCCTTCAGACTCCCTTCCAGCCCCACGTTCTCTGCTTCAGCACCCAACCCCCCAACCCC